CCCGCCCTCGCGGCCCCCAGGGAAGGCGCGGTTACCGGCTCGGGTCGGTCACGCCGTCAGGTGCCGGCTGCTGTCGGCGCTGACCTTCGCCGCCGAAGCTGTGGCTGAGGCTGCGGCCGCCATGTTCCCGTGTTAATAACTGCTGCCTGGTTGTTTATTTCAATGGAGATCCTCCCCCAACTCCCTCCTCCTTCTCCTCCTCCTCCTCCTCCGCGTCTCCGCACTTGCCGAGAGAGACACAGACCGCGCGAGCTCGCGAGCAGGGGAGGGGGCTCCTGAGCCAGGCCGTCCCTCCCTCCGCCTCCCTGGCCGTGGCCGCAGCCAAGTCCTGTCACTGGGGAAAGGACGGGGCGGAAACTTGCCTCCTGCGCCCCTGGGGAGGGGGTAAAGGTGGACAGAGGGTTCTCCAGGGAGCAGACCCTGGCCGCGGGGTCCGCAGCATCTCTCGGCTGAGTCCTCTGAGAAGGCGACCCGGGGAGAGGTGAAGAGTGAGGAGAGAAGGGACAAAATGGGTGACTGTGGAGGGTGACCTATGGGTGACTAGAAGTGAAGGGAGAGTAAACAGATGACTCCATGGGAGAGCAAAGGGCAGTGCCAAAAAAGAAAGCGAGCGGATGGGACAGGCCGAGGCTGCAGAGTAGAGGCGGTGGGATCTTGAGGCTGCAGACGGCGAGGAAGATGTCCCCGCGCGAAGATCGGGGAGAGCCAAGTACCAGGTTCGCCCCAGGAGGAGCCTCCCGCGGGCGCTCCGGCCGGACCACTCTGCCAGCAGCCTGCACCCCAGGGCGCACCTCGCACGCCCCGCGTCTGCTGCTGCGCCCTGGAGGCGCCCGTCGTCCATCCGTTCTCCCTCGGCTCCAAGAGGCTAGGCTTCTCCTGTTGCAGCCCTGTCTCAGGAGAGGATGGAGGGGCGCGACTGTGCGATGCGAGCTTAGAAGGGGGCCACGGAGCAGCTGCATGATAAAGCAAAAGTGCACACAGTGTGAAGTCTAACCTGGTTGGGCTTTCTCTTCACGACTTGGATCACAAAAGTTTTTTTTCATTGGAAAGTCCACTTTCTAGACATCAGAAAGTAATGTTGGGGAACACAAGAGAGTTGCCCTGAAAATTCGAGGAAAATCCTCATTTAAATGTTATTTGGATCAGTTTTATGCTTTGGAAAAGCAAATTCTTCCCTACTTAGATACAATTAGAAAAAATGAGCAACATTTAACAAATTTCCTTATTTTTAGTCTTAAAACGAGAAGGGTCACTTGCCATAGACAATAATAGTGTTTACTGAACACTTACTATGTGTGTCTGGCACTGTGCTAAAGTGATCGTAGATTTTGATTCTCAAGCCTTACAAAGTAATTATCTTTTTTTTATCCTTCCCCGAAAAATGAAGCTTACAGAAGTAATTTGCCTAGGGTCAGACAGCCAGGAAGCTGGAAAGGATTTGAGTCCACTTCTGGCAGACTCCAAAGCCCAAACTTTTAAAGGTGTCTTCAACCTCAAATTTGTGGGAATGCCACCAATTTTATTTTGGGAAAGAAAAAATGTATATATATGTGTATGTTTGACTATGAATAGAAGATGTTTGGAAGGCTATTAACAAGTTGTTAGCACTGGGGAGTATGAGTGGATGTGTAATGGAATACTTCCACTTTTACTTTGTACACAAAACTAGTGTTTGAAATACTTGCATTCACCATGCATTAATTTAACAAATTTTAAAGATAATTTTAATTACTTGGCATAACAATCAGGTTTCCTGAAAACCCAAAGCTCTCCAAAAAACTAGGGGAAGAAATGGTAAATGAAGGGTTTTTTTATGACCGTCTTCTTCCACAAATATTCATCCGTAGTGCTTCTACAGTGAGGTAGTAGTCGCCTGAGTTCTGTCACATTGCTGGACTCCGATTTCCGTTCATGTCCTCATCCCCAACTCTGAGTTGTGATAAAGAAAAGATTCCCCTGCTTGCTCTCTAGTCCTCCCTTCTTTGGCAGAAGTCCAGAGTCCATCAATCCTCTGCAACAGTAGACTTCACACTTTCAAAAACCACCCATGATATCTGTGCAAATAAATGACTCCCCATTGCATTTTCATATTACTCAAAATTTACTCAAGACACACAATTGTTTCTACAAAAATGAACACCCCCCCCCAAAAAAACAAGCCTGACAGCATAGCATAATGAGTTCTATCTCCAGCTGCTCATCAGTTGCCTCCAACCTTAAGGAATCCTGTAACTTCTGGGCTCCCATACAGCCTCTGGGCTCCCTTGGCACTTCGTGCGGTAGTTATAACAATATTCTGTCTTGTACTGGAGTTGTTTATGTATTTGTCTTTTTCTTTCACTAGATCGTAAGCTACTTAGGGCCCAGAACCACATCTTGTTCTTGTTTTTACAGGCTATAGCTCCTAATAAGATTTCACATCATGTTTGCTGTCTAACTGAATCTGTAAAATGTAAACAGCAGTTTCTGGTCCAATCTTCATGTCCATTTCCCCAACTCACCCTTCAATAACTTGCTCTTAAAACACATTTACAAAAAAGTGTTTTCAGTATTTTGAAAGAACTTAGATTTCTGTAAGACCTCAGAATAGTTGTTTAGGAAAACCCATTATTGGTGAATTATCATGTGAAAATGCAAAATGGAAGGGAAAAAAGTAAATACGTTGACTTAATGATGCAAAGAAAAGAAAGCAAAGATACAGGAACTGGATATGTTACCAACAGAGGACAACCCAATAAGGAAAAAAATGGGTGCAAATCATAAAGGGGAAGGAAATTATTGAAATTTAGTAGAAGCAGAAATTTGACACACCATGGATGGATGAGGCAAGTAGAAAAACCAAGAAGGAATGTCAGCTAAATCACAAGTGAAACTTGAAGTAATAAAGAAAAATCATAATTTATATATTTAAGAATATACCTAAGAAAATGTGCATTCTATAGAACAAGAAATCTATTTTGTCTGCCTTCTCTTCCTCATTCAACTTGAAGCTTCTCACTTTCTTCATACATAAACTACATAAAAATGGAAGATTGTTGTATCATTACTACTAGCATGCTTCAAGATATAATGAGAGGTAATAGTATGGTAAGAAGAGCTACAAAAGACAGGCAAACATATGATCTGGGCTTTGACACTTACTATGTGACTTAATATCTCAGTTTCCTCAACTATATATTTGTCACAAGACTCAAACAAAATGGTGTAAATAAATGTACTCTGTTAACAATCAAGCTCTTTATTCAGAGGTAAAGGAATATTATGATGTTGACTAGATGTGCACATAGCACAGTTATCTCTACTTTGGTGCTCCATTCCAATTACAAAAGCAAAAATCTATAGTTGATTCTACTTAAAATGTAATCACTAGAGGGAGGAATCTGTTAAAACATTTGTTTGACAATTTGATTATTTAAAAAAACAACTGTTTGACCAAATGTTTCATTCTTATTGTCTGCTCTCTCCAAATCCCTTAAGTATTATAGCTACCATAAATGTGTCTAGTATAGGTCAAGCATACTATATATATTTTTATTTCTAATCAAAGTAGGTATTATATGTATTGTTATTCTCACTTACATATGAAAAAAGTGAGGTTCAGAGAAGTTAATTTATACAAAATCATAAAGATGCCTTTGCAGAATAGCTAACAGATTGTGCTAAGATTCTGTTCTCCATCACTGAGTATCTCTACTACCCTAAGCAACACGTTGTCTTCATCTTTATTTCCTCAGTACCTACAATTCCTAGAACATAATACACGCTCAATAAATGATCGTGAAATGAATGAATCAGTAAATGAGAGGCTCCCTTCAAACCATACTACACACTATCACAAGATTAACATTCCCATTTTTATTCTATTTATCACTTGAAAATACTTAATAATCCTTTGTTGCCTACAGAATACAATTCAAGTCCTTTACCTTATATTCAAGACCATCCTTGGTAAGACCTTAACTGCTTTTCTAGTAATAATGGCAACAAAATATATAATACATCCTCACTCATTCCAGGGTGTTCTGAAATCAGACTGACATGAGTTTTCATCTTGGCTCTTACTAACTGTATTAACTTAGGTGAGTCATTTAGGCTCTCTGCAAATCCTATCCTGTGCAATAAGGCAAGAAAATGAAAAAGATGTAAAATCATCTTCATTCACTGATGATGTGCTTATATACATAAAAAATTCAAAAGAATCTATAACTATTAAAGTGAATGTAAGATCACAGGATACAAGATCAACAGCCAAAAATAAATTGTATTTCTATATATTGGCAATAAATACTGGGAAAATGAAATTTTCTAAAATATTTACAAAACATAAAAAAATCAAATACTTAAGACTAAATAAAACAAAAGATATGTAAGAACTCTACCTTGAAAACTAAAAACATTGCTTGGTAGAAATTCACAAAGGCCTAACTAAATAAAAGGAGAGATGTGTAGACTCAACATTGTTAAGATGTCAGCTCTTACAAAATTGATCTATAGATTCATTACAATCCAAATCAAAATTCCAGTTGATCTTTTTAGTGAAAATTGAGAAGCTAATTCTAACATTTATATGGATATACATATATATACACACATATACATATATAATCTAAAACAGCCAAGACAAACTTGAAAAACAGGTTGGGTAACTTTACTGATTTCAGTAATCAGTATAGAGCTATAATAATTAAGACAGTGTGATATTAGTATAAGAATATACCATCAGATCGATGGAACAGAATTCTGGGCTTTCACCCAGAAATAGACCCCCAAATTTAGTCAATTGATTTTTTTACAAAGTTGTCAAAGAAATAAAATGAAGAAAGGAAAGTCTTGTCAATAAATAGTGCTGGAACAACTAGACAGCAGTATGGAGAAAATGAATATTGACTCCCACCTCACACTGTATACAAGAATGAATCAGAGATGGATCATAGATGTTAAAAGCAAAACTATACACTTCCTAGAGAAAAATATGGAATAATAAATATCTTTACAACTTTGGAGTAGACAAAGATTTTTTGTTTTAAATAGGACGTGAAAGACAATAATCAGAAAAGACAAACAAATTAATTGGACTTCATTAAACTTATAAACTTCTCATCAAAAAATGCCACTAAGGAAGTGCAAAGGCAGTCCATGATTGGGAGAACGTATCTTCAGTATGCACATCAGGCAAAGTACCTGTATCCAGAATCAGCAAAGAACACCTCCCAATGAATAATATGAGGCAACCCAATAACAAAATGGACAAAGGGCTTAAAAAGGAACTTTACAATAGTATGTGAATCGTCAATAAACATATAAAAAAGATGCTCAAAGCCATTAGTCATCAGGGAACTAATGCAAATGAAAACCACAGGAGGTATCACTCACACACCCTCCAGAATGGCTAAAATTATAAAGGCTGACAGTACCTCCTATTGACAAGCACATGCAGCAATTGGAACACTCATTCATTGCTGGCAGGACTCTGTAACCACTTTGGAAAACAGCGTGGCACTTCCTCATAAAGTTAAGCATACACTTACCATATGACCCAACAGTTCTAGTCCTAAGTATTGACCTAAGAGAATATTGATCTGGGTGACAATTGCATTTTGACAGTGGTTCATCGAAATTTATTGAGTTGTACGTTAGAATTTATGTATTTTGCTACTTGCAAATTATATCTGAACAAAGTACTATTGGCATTTTAAAAAAATGGAATAAAAGAGAAGTTCTTCAATGTAATAAAGTGTATATACAAAAATCCTATAACAAATGTCATACTCAATGGTGAAACATTTACAGCTTCTCCTAGAGATTGGGAAAAAGAACTGGGCATAGAATGTCTGTAATATGTTACTTTACATAGCATAACACATTTTTTTCTACAGTTCTCCTTCTCTTATGTTTACCTCAACTATCTCCAAAATAAAGATGTCTATTCAAAATAGAAACTAAAAAAATTAAGTGCAATATGAGAATTACAGTGCATGTGTGTACTCTAGTGATTTAGAACTTATATGTAGTGTTTACCTTATCTCTCTTAGCATAAAAGTTCTCGCGGGTAGGCTGATGGTGAGGAAATCTTAGAATAGGACATATGTTCTAGATTAGAATCTGAATCCATAACCAGTGTGACTTAAACACTTGATTAGTTGGTTGGTGACATCTTATTGTGGTGAAATAACCTAACCAAAAATTATCATTTTAGCCATTTTTGAGTGTACAGTTCAGTGGGAGTAAGTACTTGCACATTGCTGTGCAAACACTATCCATCTCCAGAACGTTTTCATGAAAATGTTCCAGACATGTTATCAAGTACATCTAGGACTGAGTTTCCTACCTGAGGCATTTTAAGATTCCATGCAGCTTGGAAAGACTGTATCAGGGAGCTAAATCACACTCAGAGAAAAAAAAATCCTTTGATTAAAATGCAAGATTTTTATAAAATCCTCGGTCTGGAAGTGCTGAAGGATAGTGCTCAGTTTTAGCTAAGACAGAAAAATATCTTTGTGAAAAAAACCACATCTGAAAAACGGCTCTTCTTTGTTCATAGAGCCGTCTTCTTGCTTCTTTTGAAATAGGCCTTTGTAAACATGGACCACTGGACAAATAGTCTGCCTAACCATGGAGCACTCATTCTAGCAACATTTCTGGGGATTTAAAATATAAAGCTCTGTTTTTATTCAAAACATTTACAGGGTCAATCTATGTTATATTTTAATTAGCCTATTATTTATGAAAGTCAGTTTTTGACATCCTTGATGAAATGCCCAGGCTCCTGGCTTGTTTGTTTTGTTTTGTTTTGTTTTGAGCTTTTCCCCAAGGTGATTATGAAGTTTTGCATACACAACTACCTGAAAGATTGCGATGGTCCTCACGCCCCATCCCCAGACCTTCCAGATGATTAATGTCCAAGTTCCTAGCTGAGTAGTAGGCATGTGGATATTTATTGTTCTTTATGTCTGTCACACGTGTTAGAAATATTACTTTGTGTATAGTCAGTATTTAATAAAAACAGCTTTAAAAAATTCCTTCTATGATATGTATTTTACTTAAGCACATTCTTTTGTTACAAAACAACAACAGCTAATACTTAGATCCCGCTTTTCTTCTAGGCTAGGTTTTAAAATATACTGCTTATCCTGGATACTTTCTCATACACTCAGCTTTACACATGGCCAACTAACCACCTAAGACTGGCAAGGTTTTGACTTGACTGGAACTCTCTTCCCTCTGCCTCTGCCTAGAGTCTTTCCCACTCATGTTTCCTCTCCTCACTCTCTGTTAAAAGTTACACACCTTTTTCTTTTCCCCTCGTAACAGTGGTTTCATTTACAGTATCACCGTTTCCTCATTTCTGAGTCCTGTGCCTCTCAAGAGTTTTGCTTGTCTGGAACCTCTGCAGTCACTGATAAAATACCAAGCACAGGTGAGTTTGAACACACTTCTGCAGTGTCATCACGTAACCCCAAGATTCGCCATTCTAATCTAGACACATTTAACAGAGTCCTTTTCCACAGGCAGCCGATTAAGTTCTAGTTTTCCACAGAAACACACACAAGAGTTATGCCCTGTTACCACTGCAGTGCTGTGTTGGATGTCACAGGTTTTAGCAGGGCAGGTCGGAAAACCTAAACCCTTTGAAAAACCTTGTTTCCATAGAAAAATATGTTCTGCTTCATAACCATTCAATAAGCAAGTAAACTTATAAAATAAATCCATGAGGATTGCCTGTACTTTTCATCTAAGACTTCAAAGCCTTTCACAAAAACATCATTTTTTTAAAAAGGCTTTTTGCCATAACTAATGGTTATTAAAGGACTTGTTATATTCACAACTAAGAAGCATATATTAACAGAGCTGGACACAGAGTGCAGGAGATAACGCACAAATTATTACCGTGGGTATTGGATATGCTTCTTTCCATTTATGAACTCAACACAAATTTATTGAGTTCCTCTTCTGTGCAAAGCATTATTCTCAGCACTGGAGACCCTGTACTGAACAAAACTGGCAGCACCCCTATCGTAATGGAATTTACAGGGGATGTGCTTCATACTAGGCATTTAATAAATATTTGTTGAATGAATGATTGTATGTGGCTAAGAACAATTTAAATATATTTACGTTTTATAAAATTAAGTGAAATCAGTGAATGGGAAAGGGGTGGGGGTTGTGGAATGTAAATTAGGGGAATTTGTTCCAGGCATCATGGTTAAATTATCTCCTTATTATGAGGAAGCAATAGTGGGTAGCAGTGTTGGGTGATCAAAACCAGAAGTCTAGCATCTCGATCATATACATGACCATGACTTTGCAGAGCACTGGTTAGGAGACAAGTGCCGTCCCAGTATTACCTCTGTACTTTTTTGCAAATTATAACTCTGAGACCAAAGTGTACTTTACCTACAGGTAATTTTGATTTATCATCTTACCTGCAAGGACTCAGTCTCAGTTTATGGTGGCATTATAACAAAGAACCCAGTTTTACCAAATGTTAACAGAGACTTTAGTTAAAATACTGGGGTTCCATTTTAAATCCTGTTTTCATAGATATTTGTAATATATTTCTTCTTTATGATATTACATATGATTGCAATCTCCCAATAGGAAATACTGAGAGAGAGAGAGAGATTTATTTTAAGGAATTGGCTCATGCAATTATGGGAAGTGGCAAATCTAAAATTTACAGGGCAGGAGAGCAGGCTGGAAATTCCAGCAGGAGTTGACGCTGAGTCTGAAGGCAGTCTGAAGACAGAATTCCTTCTTCCTTGGGGAACGTCAGTCTTTTAATGCCTTCAGCTGATTGGATGTGGACCACCTTCAGTACAGCGGAAAATCTGCTTTACTCAGTGTCTACTGATTTAAATGTTAATTACCTCCAAAAAATGCTTCCACAGCAACATTTAGACCAGTGTTTGGCCAAACAATTGGGCACAAAGACAACTTGACACATAAAATTAACCATCATAGTTTACTGCTTATCAACTTGACATTCACATACACCTCCTTAAACCCTACTTAATTTCCAAATGAAGACAATAACAAAGTCATACTTCTGCCTAACATGATACAACTATCCTGTGTACAGCTGAAAGCACACTAACTCTTTCCCAAGAAGAGAATCCAAAACCTTTGGGTGATAGTCACTCTTCTCCTTGATATCCTGTAACTTTAGTAGTATGATGTAAAGTTAACAATAAGTAAATACTATGATGTAACATTAATAGATTTGATGTTATCCGATAAGGGGTAAGGAGGGAGGGAAACAAAGGTAGACAGATAGGTACATACACACACACACATACATACAGATATACATATACACACAAACATATTCATAACAAAAAAGGGAAGAAATACTTATAACAATTACTCTTCATTTCTGTAACTGGTCACATGGTCATAGCTAGCATTGATAATGTCTACCCATTACATATTCCTTTTGCCCTCAGCAAGCATCTTGGCTGGTTATGGTTTTTTTTTCTTTTTCTGTTTTTTTTTTAATTGAAGTATAGTTGATGTACAATATTTTCAGTTTCAGGTGTACAACACAGTGATTCACAATTTTTAAAGGTTATACTCCATCTGTAGTTATTATAAAATATTGGCTATATTCCCTGTGTTGTACCATATATCCTGGTAGTTTACGTATTTATCTATTTATTTTTGCTGGGTGTTAGTTCCAGTTCCTGTTGTCTTTTTTTCCTTCTTCTTTTTCTTTTTTTTTAATTGAAGTATAGTTGATTTACAATGTGTTATTTTCAGTTGTACAGAAAAGTGATTCAGTCACACACACATATATGTGTGTATATATATTCTTTTTCAGATTCTTTTCTATTATAGGTTATTATAAGATTCTGAGTATAGTTCCCTGTGCTTTACCGTAGGACCTTGTTGGTTATCTATGCTTATTTATTTTATACATAATAGTTTGTACATCTCCATCCCCTCCCCACTGGTAACCACTAGTTTGTTCTAAAACTATGGAATGCTTCACGAATTTGCATGTCATCCTTGTGCAGCGGCCATGCTAATCTTCTCTGTATCGTTCCAATTTTAGCAGGAATGCTGCCAAAGTAAGCACTGGTTGTGGTTCTTTACCCAGTAGAGTGACCCAAACCTTCTTTCATGAAGCATATGGGCCATTAATAGACCTGCCTCAATTAGATTGTTGTAGTTTCCCATTGACTTTAATCCAGAATGTGTTACTAGGGGATCTCCTGGATTCTAGGCATACTCTTCCCTACCTCTGTTTTATAGTAGCAGTCCAATTTTCCCTTGGTAATCAGGATCAATCACTCCAACCAGTATAGTAACTTCCTTCTTTGCCTGTTAATTCAGAGTCATGAGAAGCTCAAAGTAGTCAGGTGGTCTTAATGTCCAGTTTGGAGAATCATTGCTGTGTCTCCCAGTAGACGTAGTCCTCTCTTTGGAACTAAGACCTCTAGACCAAGAGAACACAAGGTGACAGGGATAGGAAATAGAATTTTTGCTAGTGGATCACAGGGTAGTAGTGAGTAGTGCCCCTACCATTTCCATCCCTTGATTCTTGGACCTCAATCCGCGAGTCCTGGCTATGGGAGAAACAGCACCATGTATTGGATGCCAATTTAGAGCATATACAACCTCCTGGAAAATCTTACCCAGTCCTGCAAGGTATTGCCACTTAGCTGGTTCTAGAATTTAAAAGGTCTTCAAAGGTCTTCAAAACGCCTTTCCACTATTCTATCAAGCTAACTGCTTCAGGATGGTTGGAGAACATAAAATTCTACAAGTGTGGACCATTGCCCCACTTTATTTACTATGAAGTGAGTCCCTAGATCAAAAGCAATGCTGTGTGTAATACCATGATGGTGGATAGATGGCCCTTTCTGTGGCTACCAGCCCACCTCTTTCCCCCAATGCCCTTATCGTTGCCCAGTGGGCTCATGAACAGTGTAGTTAGTCATGGTTGCAACACAGACTTCCATTCATCAAGGCTGGCCTGGCTAAGGCTACCACTGAGTTCCCAATCAGCCAGCAGCAGAAACCAATACCAAGTCTCCAATATGGCACCATGCCAGGGTGATCAGTCAGCTATCTGGTGACAGGTTGATAACATTGGATCACTTCCATCACAGAAGGGACAGCATTTTGTTTTTCATGGAATAGACACTCTGGATAGGGGTGCACCTTCCCTACATGCAGAACTTCTGTCAAAACTACTGTCACAGACTACTTTGCTAAGGAACACCATCTCTTTACAGTATTTTGTAAAAGAATAGACATAGCACTGCAATAGTAGTTACAACTCAACTTTCTTTTGTGACCAAAAATCTTGTACCCTATTAACAATATAGTAGTTTCAATAACCTTGCTCTAAAATGAAAAAAAAAAAGGTCTGATTCGTAAATTACTGTTGGTTGTAGACATGTCACCAGCAGTAAGTATCTGGCGCACTCAAGTGAATGCCATGGTCAGTCTGCTTTCCACCGGTGTATGTATTGGGTTGTCAGTGCCAAGCGGAGAAGTTTGGGATCCCCACAGGCATAATTTCAAGATTTCTTTATAGTATGGTGGAATTTTACAGGATTTTATAAAGAACAAGATACCCAGATTCTTTACTGAGCAAATTCTCCCAGTGCATTTGGCCTGATTTCACTGTTGGCTTTTTCTTGATTTTTACTAGGTTTTTCATATGTTAAATTTTAAGTAGGGACATTTTTACAATTTTTAAAGTTTTATTTTCAGTCTGCTTGCTCCTAAAGTAATGTTTTTAAATGATCCAAAATAATATATTTTATATAGCATATTTTAAATAAATAGTAAGTGGATTTTCTGTAATAACATATATTTTCCAGTACTGTGTTATTATGCATACTACTCTCTTTTCTTTATTTTGGAATGATTATCCTTTCTTCACAAGACATTCTTTTTTCTTGCTCTTTTCTCTTCCCCACAAATTGTTTCTATTCCATTCTTGGTCTATCCCATTGGCCCTTTCTCATATATTTTTATTGTTTAGTTACTCTTCTTTGGGGGGTAATTAGGTTTATTTATTTGTTTAATGGAGGTACTGGGGATTGAACTCAAGACCTCTTGCATGCTAAGCGGGCACTCTACCACTGAGCTACACCCTCGCCCCTGTCTATTAACTCTTAATCTAACTCTGTCACTGTCTCTTCATGAATTCAGAATGATTCAAGCAAAATCTATTAAAATGAGTTTTTCTCTTTTACACCAATGTTTAATCTGTTTTTATTTGTCATTGTCAAAGCACCCTCAAATTTGACCTCAATTTCAAACAACCTTCCATTTGCTATTGATACAATGGTGATGTTGGTCTACATTTCACCTTCTTGTAACTTCCAATTAGATATGAATTATTATATTTTTAAAAATTTGGTTTAAATATAATGCAACAAAATATATTATACTAAGATGCATGAAATTAGACTGTAACACATTCTTCATTCAGGGGAAGCCCATACACATCTCTGTCATAGCACAGATGGCACTTCATCTTTGCTGAAGAGAGTACTTTTTTTTTTCTACTACTGGATTGTAAGTCCTTTGAAAACAGGGGGTGTATGTAAACCTCTACTGTCCAACACAGTGTAGGGTTTTAACAAATGAATAACAAATGAATAAATGAATGAATGAGAACCATTACCTGTATAATTTCAGTGGTCTTTTCCAAAAAAAAAAATACTTCCCTGGTCATCTCCAAATGACACCAGATGAAATTCCTTTTGCCAAGTTTCAAAACTTTTAATTTCCCAACCGGACTTATTTTCCACCCAAGTTATCCTTAGGAAAATACATTCGCTTTAACTTATTCATCCAAGGCAGAAGTTGTCGTTCCCCATTTGAAGATGAGAATCATGTCCCCACCCCAGTAAAAATAAATGAGGAGCCCCGCCAGGTGATTTTAAATGTAGGCAAAGTTGAGAACGGCTGGGCTAAGATAGAAGTAACTGAAGGCAGGTTCTAAAGAGTAAGGAAAGAAGAAAAATGCAATCCATAGTGACCTGTGGCAGAGAAGTTCTCTGTTGGGGGCGGGGCGGTGGGGGCAGGGATATGGAGATGAGCCCAGCTCTTCCTTCAAGAGGCTGGGGATGGCCAGCAAGAGAAAAGTATTTTTTAAAGTATGCATTGTCTTGAAAGATTAAGAGGAAAGATTATAAGTACTTTGTAAAGAGGCAAACTTCAAAGAGGAAAGAATTTCAAATGTAAATTTAAAAATGAGGTCAGAGATTCCAACAATTGCTAATAAAAGGGCCCTTTGAGTTTCTTGGGCTTTTACAAAAATATTGCCCAGGCTCGCAAATACGGCAAGCGGACTGGGTATACAGACTCAGAGAAAAGTGTAAAGAAGAATAAATGTTGACATAGCAGGACCTGAGAGAAGAAAAACTGTTCTAAGGAATTAGTAGTCCCCCAAATTGTGTGTATACTATGATTGCAACCACTTAGAAACCACAGCGCATAAGGATGTGAGCAAGAAGAGAAGAGAGATGACGTTAGACAATTGGCATGTTTAGGTGTCTTGAACTCAAACTGGAAAGTTCTAGTTCCTGCTTTGCGGCTAACACACTGTGCTGCCTCAGGCAAGTCTGTCCCCTCCTCTGGGGCTCCATTTCTTCACCTGCAAAATGAGGGAGTTGAAAGCTTGAGCTAAATCAGTGCTTCTTGCAAGATTTCTCTGAAAGAGTAAGCAAAGGCAGCCGAAGCTCAGGGAGGGGAGAGCCTGAGGCACCTAGTGCAAGTACAAATCTTTTTAACTCCTGGTGTTTTGTCTTAAAAGTTCACGCCCTAGGGAGGGGGTGGGGTATGCCTCGGGGTAGAGCGACTGGGTTCAATCCCCCTCCAGTGAAAAACAGAAAAAAAGAGAGGAATGGCGATTTAACAAACTTAATAATTAAAATGAAAAAGTTCATGTTCTGGCCTGTAAACATACCTAATATGTGAATTAATTCTCAATAAAACAGTTTTTTCAGAAAGTTCATATACTTTTTATTCCTTACTCTTCTTTTTGGGCTTTTTTCTTTTAAATACAGTTGAGCTTGTATTGTATATAAAATTTTATATTCTGCTTTTTTTCCACTAAGTATTATATCGTTCACATTTTATATATGTCATTAAAAACGCTGTTACTTTTCTTTTTACAGCTTTCCAATATCCCGTCATATGGCTGTACTATAATGTATTAACCATCTCCTAATTTGGGATATTCGTGTTACAGCACAGTGTGTTTTTGCCACCACGCTGCCTTAATTCCGTCTGCTTGGATCCATGCAAAGGCTGAGATTTCTTTATAGTTTTTAATTGAATCCTCTGAAGTACAGAGATTGCAAGATGAAAAAAATTTTTTTCCCTTATTGCTGCCATGTGTTAAGTGGTCTTTTAGTGATGTAAGTTGTAATTCATTCTTTTTTGAGATCTCACTGCTAAAGGTAGGGGAGAAATTAACATTTACTGAATCCAGGGTCTTTTGTAAAGATTATTATAGGTCATCCACCCAGTGAGGTAATGATCATCCCACTTCGTGTAATAATAAGCTGAGACTCAAAGGAACCAAGTGACTGTCTAACAACATGCAGCACTGGGGTTTCAATCGGGTCTTACCTCCCCCGATCTGTCCCCGGCCATCGTGTTCAGCATACTTTGGCCCCAAAGACACTCTTGCACTTCCCTCATCATTTTTTTTTTAAATGAAGTCTAGTTGATTTACAATATTATATTTGTTTCAGGTGTCCAGCATAGTGATTCAGTATTTTTAAAGAGTATACTCTTTTTAAAGTTATTACAAAATAATGGCTATATTTCCCTGTGCTGTACAACATATCCTTGCGGCTTATTTATTTTATACATAGTAGTTTGTATGGCTTAATCCCCTACCCCTATCTTACCCTTTCCCCCTTCTGTCTCCCCACTGGTAACCACTGGTTTGTTCTCTACAGCTGTGAGTCTGTTTCTGTTTCGTCATATACATTTGTTTGTTTTTATTTTTTGGAGTCCACGTGTCAAGTGATAACATCAAGTATTTGTCTTTCTCCTCTCACTTACTTCACTGAGCATAAGGCCCTCCGGGTCCACCTACGT